AAGATAGTCAGTAGAAACATATAAATCAAGTCCACAAGAAGATACTTCTGTTTACTGTAAGATGGCTGTCACAGGGCGCTGCACGATGGCTCGGTGTTTAAATCCTCACCTTGTATGTGCCAGCATCCCATATGGACACCGGTTCATATCCTGGATGCTCCTCTTCCCATCCAGCTTCCTGCTTGTGACCTGGAAAAGCAGTTGAGGATGGTCCAAAGTCCTGGAGCCCTATAATTGCATGGGAGACCCAGAGGAAGCTCCTGGCTCCTGTCTTCAGATCAGTTCAGCCGTAGCTGTTTCAGTCACTTGGAGAGTACACCAGCGAATAAAAGATCTTTCTGTCTTTCCTTCTCTCTGTAAAATCTGCCATTCCAAGACAAATAAAATAAATCTTTAAGAAACAAAAAAAAAAGGCTGTCATAAAAAATTAGAAAATAGCAAATGTAAGAAAGGGATTGATAGGGATGAAAAATGACACAGCTGCAATGGAAAACAGCACCGCAGTTCCTAGAAAAATAAAAAATAGGATGACCGTGTGATGCAGCAACTCCACTTCTGAATATATACCCAAAAACATTGAAAGGTGGGAACTCAGAGATACATGTATATGTCATGTTCACAAAGGACTATTCACAACTGCCAAAAGATGGATGTGCCTGTATGGCCATTGATAAATGGACATGGTGGCATAGTGGTTAAAGTTACATATGACACCAACATCCCTGTGGACACCAGTTCTTGTCCCGACTGCTCCACTTCTAATTCAGCTCCTTACTGGAAAACACAGTGGGTGATGGCCTAAGAGCACGGGCCCTTGCACTTGTGGGAGATCCAGAAGAAGCTCCTTGCTCCTGATTTTGGTCTAACCCAACCCTAGCTGTTGGCAGTCATCTGGAGAATGAACCAAAGGATGATTTTCTCTTTCAAACAACCTTTTTATATAGTGAAATCTTACTAAAACTTAAAATGAAGGAAAAATCTGACATAAGCAACAAGAAGGATGAATCCTAGAACTAATGTCTTTCTAAAATGCTTTTATTTATTTGGATGTTTTTCATCTTGAAATAGAGAGATGTCTCGCATATGCTGGTTCACTCCCTGAATGCTGCTACATCCAGGATGTGGTGAGACCCAAGCAAGAGCACAAATCTCACTTCAGATTTCCTCTGTCAGTAGCTGGGACTGATCCTCTGGATCTACTGCCTGCTTTTTCCCAAGGTGTGCCTTAGCAAGAAGCTGGAATCAGAAGTGCACTCAAACCTAGACACTCTAGTATGGGATCCGGCATCAATCAATATTTTAACTGCAGTACCAAATGCTCATGCCTCTACTAATGTCTTAATAAGCCAGGAACAAGTGGCCAGCATATGGCACAATGGATTAAGCCACTTTCTACAACATCATCATCCCAAACAGACACCATTTGGAGTCTGCTGCTGCGTTTCCAGTACAGCTCCATGCTAATGCACCTGGGAAAGCACCAAAAGATGACCGAAGTTCTTGGGCCCCTCCCACTCATGTGGGAGACCCCCTCCTGGAGTTCCTGTCTTTAGCCTTGGCTGGGGAATGCAAAAGCTCTCCTGTCTCTCCCTCTCTCTGCCTTTCATATACAGATACATCTTAAAGAAAAAGTAATAAACCAATAGCAAAAGGAAAATGTTGTATAATTTCAAGGAAGTGCAATGAAATTCACAGAGATCAAAAGTGGAGTGGCAATTTCCAGGCGGTGAGGAGTACAGAGGAAGGAGTAGGGTTTAATGGGTACAGAGGATTAGTTGGGTAAGATGGAAATGTTCCAGAGATGGATGGTGATAATTGTTGTACAACAATCAGAGTGTGCTTAAAGCCACAAAACTGTACACAGTAGACAGTAAATTTCCTGTTACATGTATCTTATTATCATCTTTCATTTCTTTTTAATTTGAAAAAAAGTATAATTATGTGATCACCCAAGTAGCACTGCCAGAAAATGGTTTCTCTTTTTATCCTTTGGCATTCAAAGATGCAAAAGAATCAACAACAACGCAGACTCAGTTGTGTTGAAGTTCACCACAAATGGCTGTTTGCTAGAAGCCAGCTGGAAACCAGAAGGCAAGGCCCAGTGCCTTTCATCTCCCAAAGCGACTCCCAATTCAGCAGTCTATACTAGCCAAGCAGCCCGCCAAGGGAGAGGGCAGAATTAAAGCATTTTCAGATATACAAGGGCCTGAGGAAATCTACCTCCGGGGCACACTTTCTCAAGGAGCTACTACAGATGAATATTCTTCACCCAACGAAGGCAGTAAACCAAGAAAGAAGCCACAGCATTCAAGGAACAGCACACTCAAACAGGAGTGACACGGGGGGATCTCTGATGATAGTGAAGGGAGATGCCAGCTGGCCAGAGGACTACAGAGCGGCCAGTCTAGAAGGAGCAGTTGAAAAGGCGCTTGGAAAAGATGAAACTGATGGAATATGATGAAATCTAAACATCTAATGAGAAGATTTACATCACTACAAGAATTAGCAATGTGTACACATCAAGTGAGGCAGATACAAAAAATAAAACAATGAGCTCCAGGGCAAGCAAATTTTGCCAAGAAGAAAAATGAGTTAGTGTGTATCATGTGGCTCACCTGTAAACAACCGTTACATAAATCATTACAACGTAAATTCTGATCTGGACATTGATCCACTCAAAATTCAGGGAATGGCAGGGTGGGAACTTCACACTGGGCCAGAAAGGGCACTGAAGAAAAGTGATGTACTCATCTCGCATGAGGAGTAACCCACAGAAAGGCCTGAAAATGAGCAAATACAAGCTCATCCATCAAAGACAGCTGGGTTTGGAAATAAACAATGGAAGAATTACCTAAAGTCATCGAACTGACTGTCCCTGAGGACTGAGAAAGGAACTCAAATATGGAATGTGAGGTTATTGTTATTTGTAGTAAGACTTAAAGGGTTATTTGACTCTAAATCATTGCCATTTATAACATTGACAAATAATAATTCTTAAATAAATGAAATATATTAGGAAAAGCATACTTGCCTTCCAGTTTCCTACCAGAAAGAGAAAAATACAGTCAGATCAGCATAGAGTGGAATAGGAGACTGACATGTAGCTAGCGGGGGGCGGGGAAGAGATCTCGCACAGGAAGACAGGGTAAGTGTAAGGCCAGCCTTGCCCCTGGAGGAAGGAAAGCCAGAGCAGCACAGAGCTCTCCTTGAGAATTTGTAGCCTAAGCCCACACTCAGGCAGCTCAACCCAACCCAACTGAGCTGACAGTTTAATTTAAAATGACCCCAAGTTTCAAGCAGAAGTAAATGCTAATTCTCTCTGAGAAAAAGTACATTTGATACCCAAACTTTGATGAAATCCCACAGATAATGTACCACAGAACACAGGCATACAGCCAAGAACCACTAAGAAGAGAAAATGCAGCACCATGAATGAAGACAGCAAGTGCTGAGCAACAGAATAAAGCCAACAAAAAACAAGGACAGTAGGATTACTAAAAGAAGGTTCGATGTTTTTGAAAGAATAAAAAAGGAATTTGAAAATAAAACAAGAACAAATTTCCAAAAACTGTATAGGCAAGTTTGAAGGGAAAAAAAAAGATACTTCTGGAAATTAAAAAAATAATGTTTGTAATTATAAACTCCATGGACAGATTGATTAGACACAAACTAAATAAACAAGAAGCAAAGTAGGTTACCGCAGACTGTGGCCCCTGGGCTGCCCTGTGGCTCTCGATGTGTGGGAAGAGCCTGCCCACGCAGTCCGTGGACTAAGGAGCTGTGCCTTATATAAAGCCTGATGCGAAGGGGAGCACTTTAATACTCAGGAGAGAGGAAGTAGCCAAGGGAGCAGGTGGGTAGGTGAGCAAAACCAGCAAGAGGTGAGAGCAGAGCATCCCCTAGAAGGTGGATGTGCATGGAGGCCTCTGCGTATTGTATCTGACCCCAGGGCCCCAGAGCCCCAGAGCCAGGGCACAGCTTGCCTGAGCAATGGTTGCCAGGGCAACCAGCACCAAGGACAAAGTGAAAGATCAAGACCCCGGAATAAAAGAAATGCTACAAACCCAGCGCATGGGATCCTAGCATGTGCCAGGATCCCAGATAGACGCTGGTTCTAATCTCGGCAGCTCTGCTTCCCACCCAGCTCCTACTTGTGGCCTGGGAAAGCAGTAGGGGATGGCCCAAAGCCTTGGGGACCCTGAACCCAAATGGGAGACTCAGAAGAGGCTCTGGGCTCCTGGCTTCAGATCGAAAAAGCTCTGACTGCTGGCGGACATTTGGGGAGTAAATCAGCAGACAGAAGATCTTCCTCTCTGTTTTTCCTCCTCTCTGTATATCTGACTTTCCAATGAAAATAAATATTTTTTAAAAAAAAGAAAGAAAGAAATGCTATGAGGTCCAGGAGCCTAGACATGGCAGGAAAGGAGATGCTTCAGGGAATGTGGACCACTATGAAATAGAAGCCAAGTCACCAGCGTTTGGCCAAAGGCTTGGGATGCTGGGGAGCAGGATGAACTCCTGCTCCTGAGGTCCCTCTGGACCCTGACCTTGCCCCAGATGTCCGCTGACCCTGAGCCAGAAAGGATAACTGAGTGTCAAAGGAGCATCCTCAAGAACAAAGGTGAGCAGCTACTCAAGCAGGGTCAGGACCTTCCACTGAGGAGGAAGGCCACACAGGTCGACAGGGCAGTGCCACCTGCCTGAGGTGAAGAAGGAAGGGCCTTAGGGCAGGCCACCAGGAGGCTCAGGAGAGGGGCCTGGCTGGGGTCCTGCTCAGCATGGGCCATGTCACTCCAAGCTGTGTCTCTTCATGACCCCCTTGTTCACCTGCTGCACATCACAACGGCTGAATTGTGCCTGCACCCCCCAGCATCTGAAATTGAGTGTGTCCACCCCAACCCCTATCCCGAATTGGTGTCTAATAAATGTTCGAGGGGAAAGAACGGGGAGGACAGGTGATCCAAAAACAGGTTCCCATGGTCATGTTCTGTCCTCTACAGTGCCCAGCAAGGACACGCTCAGTGTCTCCCCCACCGTGAGACTAAACGAACAAGAAGAGACTGGGAGAATCATTGAGATGCAGCGCCTCGAAATCCAGCGTCTCCGGGACCAAATCCAGGAGCAGGAGCAGGTTCCGGGACTCCACACCCTCGCTGGAATTCGGCTTCCTTCCCTCAGTTCGGAGGCGGACTTTGAGGTAGAGACCCAGTGATGCCCTCTGGAGAGACATCTCCAACCACAACCAGCAGAAGTTCCACGCGTGTCCCTGAGCTGACTCCAGCTGGAGTCCCTGCAGCCCTGACCCTACACAGCAGCTTCTTCCTCTCACTGCAAAGACCTGGGAATGTGGTCAGAATAAAAGGTGTTTGCTCAGACCCTTGTCCTACTTAGCCAAGGCCTGGAGGGTGCAGTGGGACCTCCCAGCACATGTAAAGTCCCTGTTGGGGCACAGGGCTGCCTGGCACTGCAGAGCTCACAGCAGACCTGCTCCAGCCTGGGCTGCCTGCTCCTGATGTCAGTGTCACTGCCTGCTGCTGCTCACATGGCTTCCACCTCTGCCAGCCAAGTCAGGACCAGCCAGAGGCTCCTACATTCTCATATTTGCGAAATGATGTTTTGTTTTAATAGCTGTGTAAAGATGAGGGAAAGGGGGCAGGTGTTATGTTGCCTCAGGTTAGGTCACCGCCTGGGATGCTGGCTGCTGCTCCACTTCCCATGTAGTTCCCTGCCAATACACCTGGGGAGGCAATACAAGATGGCTCAAGTACTTGGTGCCCAGCCACCCATGTGGGAGGCCTGGATGGAGTTCCAGACTCCTGGCTTCTGCCTGGCCATTGCAGCCATTTGGAGGGTGCACCTGCATACGAAAGATTCTCTGTCTCTCTTTCTCCCTCTCCCCCATCTCTCTCTATAACTGCCTTTCAAATAAATAAGTCTTTAAAGGAAAAAAGGAACATTAGGGAGATGAAAACAATCAATGATGAATGTGGCAAACTTCCAAGAATGGCACCCAGTTCTTAATATTGTCCTTAGGATGACAACTTCTGTACTTATTTCTTTTGTTTTCACATTGCCCTAGTCTGGTCATCTTTGTTCTATAGGGCCTTACCTAAATCCTGTATTTCTGAGGAGCTTTTCTCTCCCTGATAATCCTTTTCAGACCCCATTCTGGGACAGTCAGCCACCTGTAGATACCAGGAAAGATCATTCTTTATGCACTAAAGAAAGAGGGAATAAACACAAGAGTCCTTGTCTTCCACCACAGATGCCATACATCACCTAATACCCAGACATGTTTAGGCCTTTGGTCCCTGCTTAGCCACCTCTGGCTGTTCTAATCCTGGCACCTCCACAGCATTGGCCATCTTTCCCCAATCTGCCCTGCTGACATTTTGGCTGCTCCAGGGTTAGTTTTCACAGTGAGAGCCCAGACTCAGCTGTTCCGCTGGGCAAGACTCTCCTAAGACAGAAGGGTAACACGGGAAAGGTGCATGGCAGAGATCACAAAGCCCAATGCCTCGCAAGGTCTCTGCTTGGTGATCGTCCACCCCCTGCCAGGACCACCAGCTTACCTCCATCCATGATCCTGTGCTCCCCAACAAATCCTCTCTCAGGAGACAGGATCTGGTAGCAGGTACGCTGAGAGGCTCAACCTTGGAGAGCATTTCCAAAGAAATGGGCTCTTCCATCCCAGTGTGATGGTTCAGTGGCTAACTCCTCACCTAGCATGCTCAGGGATCCCATATGGGAGCCAGTTCATGTCCCAGCTGTTCCACCTCTTCTCCTGTTCTCTGCTTATGACCTGAGAAAGCAGTAGAGGATGGCCCAAAGCCTTGGAACTCTGCACCCGCATGGGAGACCAAGAAGAAGCTCCTGACTCCTGGCTTTGGATCAGCTCAGCTCCAGCCTTTGCAGCCACTTGGGGGGTAAACCAGCAGATGGAAGATCTTTCTCTCTGTATTTCCTTCTCTCTGTAAATCTGCCTTTCAAATAAAAATAAATAATGAAAAAACTTTTTTTTTTTAAAGTAATAGGTTCTTCTGGACTCCCAGCTCTCTCATTCCCAGCTGGCATCTGAGCTTTGCCTTTGCAGAAGAAACTGCCCCAACATGAGACTGGGGAGGGTGACGGCAGAGCAGCTGTTGCTTGGATGCCCACATCCCACACTGAAGCACCTAGCTTCAGCAGCACCTGCTGCTCCACTCCCGATCCAGCTTCCTTCTAATGTGCCCTAGGTGCAGCAGACAATCCCTCAAGTCCTTGGGCTCCTGCCATCCATGTGGGAGACCAAGATGGATCCTGGATTTGGCCCAACCCTAGCTATTGTGAGCATTTAGGGAGTGGATAGGCAGATGGAAGATGTAAACAAACAAACACACACACAAAAGTGAGTTGTGTGGATGGATCCGCAAGGCTAGAAGATTTGAGGCCCTAAAGGTGCATGAAAGACACAGGACGGTCCAGAGTCAAGGGCCAAGTGTCCATGAATCACCACTCCTGTTTTGCAAACCCCTGCCCCGCTGGCCTCCTTTCAGTCCCAGAGACAGGCCAAGATCTTTCCTGCCTCTGAGCCTTTCTACATCTTTGTTTCCTCTGTTTGTGCCTGTTAGCCCACACTTAACACTGCTTACCCTGCAGTTCTGAGTTTGAAGGCCATGCTCTCTGCAGGGCTGGCCCTGACCACTGCCCTCCACCCCCACCTAAATCCCACCCACCATATTGCTTTCTTTCATGGCTGGCTCACACCTACCTCTCCTGGGAACAGCTTCATGAGGGCAAGAGCTGGGCTGCTTTCAGTAGTCACTCGGGTATCTGTGGAAGTGGTGGGTGTCCAGGCATGAGAGGTCTGTGTCCTGGGCAGACAGAGAAGAGTGAACTCTTCTGACTTACAGGCTGGTGGGATTTGGTCAAACGTGAAAGAGAAGAGAGATGAAGACACTGGAGCTTTCCTGAGAGTGAGGAGAAAAATCCCCTACAGCCAGGATGATATATTTGTCAACTGGGAAGTAGCTAGTTGAGGCCAGTATTGTGGTTAAGTTGTGCTTGCAAAGCCAGAGCAGCCAGTTAAAGTCCTGGCTGCTCTGTTTCCAGTACCACTCTTCTGCTAATGCTCCTGGGAAGGCAGCAAATGGTGCCAGAGCTTGGGTGCCTGCACCCAATGGGAGATAAAGAGTCCCTGGCATAGGTGGAGCCAGAGCAGCTGCCCAGCCTGCCCAAGGAATTGCAAGACCATTGCTCTCAGGCCTCTTTCTGCAGAGACATCCAAAGGAAGTGCTACAGCCAGAGAGTGGAGGGCATGGGACCGTGACTCCCAAAGAGCCTCAATCAGGTGAGGAGCTGAAAAGTCCCAGGCCAAGCTAACCCACGCCTAACTTGAACCTGGCAGCTGTCTAACAGGTGAAGAGGAGGAGGAAGTCCAGGCCAATGGAAAGCCCCACCCAGCAGAGCTTGGCACCTTGACCTGTAGGCAGCAGGGTGTTCCTTGACTGCCCAGGGCAAACACTGCTCGGTGCTAACGACACCAGGTCCAGGGGCACCAGCATGTTGACATCTCCCAGGTCAGGGAACTGGCTTTGGTCTTGTGCTCCTGCATCTGAGACTTCTCTCCACCTTGTCCATCCTGGCCCCTGGGGAGAGGTTGGAAGTGCTTCCCCAACTAGTATCACTTCCTCCTTCCGGAGGCCCCTTCAGCCAGCTGACCCCTCACTGGCACAGTGAATCTGATGGTCACTTCTTCTACAGTCACCCATGAGCTTCCAGCTCTGAGCAGAGGAACCGTGGGTGCCTCTCTTGAGCTACAAGTAATGGAAATCAGCTTCAGCCATTTAATCAGAAAAGGAGAATGTATTACATAGCTCTGGGGAAGTGCATGGCCTCAAAGACTTGACCCAGGGCCTGGAGCACTGACTTGTCACCCCTCCCTGCAGCACAGCCTCCCATGCCAGTTCAGACAACAGACAGGTGCCTTAAAACTTTCCCTTCTGGGTTTGGCACCATGGCCTAGCGGCTAAAGTCCTTGCCTTGAACACATCAGGATCCCATATGAGCACCGGTTCTAATCCCGGCAGCTCCACTTCCCATCCAGCTCCCTGCTTGTGGCCTGGGAAAGCAGTCAAGGACAGCCCAAAGCCTTGGGACCCTGCACCCATGTGGGAGACCCGGAAGAAGTTCCTGGCTCCTGGCTTCAGATCGGCACAGCACCGGCCGCTGCGCTCACTTGGGGAGTGAATCATCAGATGGAAGAGCTTCCTCTCTGTCTTCCCTCCTCTCTGTATATCTGACTTTGTAATGAAAATAAAATAAATCTTTAAAATAAAAAAATAATAATAATTTTTTTTTAAACTTCCCTTTTTAGAAGCCACCAAATAGACATGCAACACAGAATAATTTTCAGTTGTTCAGAGGGAGTATTTGGGACTTAGCTTGAGTCTAGACCTCACTTGTACTCTGGCACCCATACTGATGGGAGTCATAGCACACATCCCTGGCTGCTGGACTCTTCCCTGTGGTGGGGCTGCTCCGTGGGAGTGTGCTGCATGCTCTGAAGGGCGTCCATGTGGAGACGCATCACTCACTGAAGACCCACAGTTACATGGCACCATGCTTCTCAAGTGGCCCAGGGCAGGTGCACCGTGATCACCACCACACCTTCTGCACCTGCACAAGGCCTCGGCCAGGGCCATTGTTGTGACGCAGCAAGTTAAGCCACCTTCTGCAATACCGGTATCCAATACTGTGTCACCAGTTCAAGTCTCGGTTGTTCTGCTTCTGATCCAGTGGCCTGATAATGCACCTGGAAAAGCAGAGGAAGATGGCTCAGGTGCTTGGGCCCTTGCCACCCACATGGGAGATCTGGATGCAGTTCTGGGCTTTAGCTCCAACCGGCCAGGCCTGGCTGTTGCAGCCATTTGGGTAATGATTCAGAGTATAGAAGTTCTCTCTCCTTATCTCTCCCTCTCACTCTGCCTTTCAAATAAATAAATAAATCTTAGAAAAAAAAATACCTGGGCCAGAGAAAAGATGTCATAAATCTATGCTGGATAAATAAATTATATTATCACACACACATAGGGCCTTTCAGTCTGTGTCATGCTGTACCCATTTTGCAAACAAAGAGGCTGAGAGCCATGGATATGACCTTCCTCAAGATCAGCCCAGCTCCCACAGGATCCTCTTTCCACTCTCCACTCATTCTAGAACACTCCCTGAGCACCTGCATTATGCCAGGCTCATTCTGGAGTTGGGACTTGGCAAACAGAGCCAAACCCTTCCCTGTGTGCTGCTGACCTAGCAGGGTAGACAGACCATACTCCCAAGATAGGAGTGAAGCATTAGCCCCATAGAGAGGTGGGAGTGCTACGGAGAAACACGGGATAGAAGCAATGAAGAAGTCACAATTTTAGTAAGGGTGGCAAGAAAGTCCCACCAAGAAGGGGACATCTGGGGGCATTCTTGAAGAATCCATGGGGAACAAACACGTCCCAGGCAGAGGAAGCAGCAGGGGCAGATAGATGCCTGAGCAGCAGGAACGAGGGCACAGCACATAGAACGGCCACCATCTGTGTGAGGCAGAGCACTGGGGGACCCAGACAGAGCAGGGATCTTGTCACCCTGCTACTCCCCAGAACAAGTTCCCTGCAGCACCTGGCTTACAACTGCCAGCTAAGATAAGTCAGAGACAGGAGCACAGCAGAAGAGAGAGAGCCACCCCCAGCCTGGCAGGGTACCCCTCCCCACTCCCACCCCGCCCCATGCATGGGAAGCTGCTGGAAACCACAGCTCTACTCTGAGCTCACCGCTGCCCCCTCCCACCATCATCTGTGCCCAGCTGAGCTACCCTATCAGCCTCTGCTTTGGGGACAGAGTTCAGACGGCCTGGACAGAGCCGGCCTCTCCACTTCAGCTCTTCGTGGTTTGATAAGACCCAGATCCAGAACAAAGTTGAAGCTGAGGCAGCGTCCAGGCTTGCCCCCGCCAACCTCAGACCCACAAGGGAAGGCAAAACAGAAGGGGGCCTCTCGGGATGCCTTGCCCCAGCTCCTCCAGGGACTGCTGAGCTGGACTGAGGTTGCACCCCACTTCCCACCATGGCCAGCAGGGTAGAACCATGCTAGACACGTGCAGGGGCCGTAGCCAGTCAGCCCTGCCAGGTCCCCACTCATCAGCTCCTCTGAGAAAGAGGAGACCTTTATTAGGGGATTGCCAGGGAGCTGGGGCGGGGGGCAGGATCAGTGCATGCAGGGCCACATGCTGTTTCCCTGTCCATGGTCAGCCTGACCTAAGGGATCCTTGAGGCCAGTAGAGCCATGCCAGCCAGAAAGGCTATGGCCACCAGCAGGCATGGCTCATCCAGGCTGAGACAGGTATGAAAGACACACCAGCTTGTCAAGGCTTTGTACAAACTCAGAACTGTCTGATCATGCATAAGTGGCCTGTGTGCAAAATGTATTCCTTCCCCTCAATTGATTTCACCTGTCTCTTTTCCATTGTCAGTCACATGGCTGTTAGAAAGTCTGGTGTCCAGAACGCATGTTCTGATTTCGGGACCAGCACTGCTGTGGGGTTCATGAGTGTTCCCAGCTGTCTCCACAGAGAAAGAGAAGCACACAGGCTGTCTGTGGATATATAGAAAAATCTCAATGGAAACATATCCTTGAATCTGTTTCTTTAAGATGTGTGTGTCTCCTGGTACCGCAACTACCCCGGCCAAGTGTCAGTAATGAATACCTGGATAAACAGAGACCCTCAGGTGGACTATGTCAGCCAGTGGATTCTGGAGAGATTTCATTGTGATTGGAGTGGCAAGATCGGCAGCAATACAGAACTGTTGAGTTATCAAAAACATTTTAGCAGGACCCTCAGAGCATACCCCACATCGCGGACCCTGGGATGGTTGGGAGGCTGGGTGTGGCTTCTCTGCTTTTCACCCCTTACCCCTAGATACAGGAAGGAAAAAAAAAAGAGAGAGAATGTGGAAATGGTGATCTCACCCACCTTCCTGTAGCTCTTGACCCTTATCACCCTAATCAATTATGTTAAAATCATCAAAAATAAAAATAACATGTTTTTAAAAAGTTTGTGTGTTTGAAAGGCACAGCGACAGATAAGTCTTCCACCTCCAGTTCACTCCCCTCGTCCCACAATGGTCTTGGTTAGGCTGAAGTCAGGAGTCTGGAACTCCATCTGGGTCATCCACAGGGGTGGCAGGGCCCCAAGGTCTTGGGCCAGGAGGAGCTGAGCAGCCAGGAGTCTCACCAGGGAAGCCAGTGTCACAGGTCACAGCGTCACCCACTGCATCACAGGACTGGCCTCCATGTTTCTTTTCCATTTCTTACACAAAGGACTAAGAGCGTACGCATTGCGAGGGCCCAGGGGAGGGCTGACAGCCTGCAGCCACCCCCCCAAGCTGCCATTCCCTCTCACTCAGCAGCGTGGCATGTGAGGCCCCAGCCTCGCTGGTCAGCAGTACACTGGGACAGAACACCCAGAGCACCTTCCTGGCCCTCCACAGCGTGGACCAAACTTGCCTTTCCAGGTTTGCCTCCCGTGCTCCCTGCACCCCACCACCACCACCACACACACACCATCACCACCCCACACACCTGTCTGCTTACACATTTTCATTGATTTAGCCAGTCAGTCAACAAATACGTATTGATTACTTCCTCCGTGCTGGATACTTCAGTGATGACAATTCACAACAGGCATTATCCCAGTCCTTCCTGGAAGCCACAAATTGGGGGTGAAGGGAGTAAGTGAAGGGCAGTCAAGCACATTGCAGGAAGCACACGCTGTGGGTGCTACACAAGGATGCACCCAAGAGGGGCCTATACCAGACTGCAGATTCGGGAGGGCTTCCTGGAAGAGGAGACTTGGCTAGCCTGAGGCTGGGAAGTGACAACTACCCCAGGCAGAGAGAACTCAGATCCCACACAGGAAGGGCAAAGGGGAGGGCAGAGCAAGCAGAGCTGAACAAGACTTGTTTTGACTGGAAGGCAAGGTGCCAGGGCGCAATGGCCAGTCTGGGCAGACAGCAAGAACTTGGTGAGCCCCGGGAGCAGGCATTTCCTCTTGAGCGTTGGCTCTAGAACTGCTATTCCCCACCAGGACTCCCCACCTCCCCCAAGAGGTGGGGCAGACCTAGCCAGACAGACACAGCTGAGGCTTTGAAGGGGAAACAAAAAAAAAAAGCAAGGGGCTGGAGGTGGGGGGGGGCTCCAGTCCATGGAAGTGGCATAGGATGGAGGCCCTGAAACTGTGTTTGGGAATCGGCTGGTCTTGCATTCCGGGGCCAGAACTGGGCTTGAGGTTGGTGACCATGGGACCCGAGTCCAGCATTTGGGCTGAAGGTACAATGTAGGTGGAGCTGAGTTTCAAAGCCAAAGGCAGGACTGGGTTTGGAAAAGACTGAGGAATTGGATTTGGAAACAGAATTGGGACCAGCAGCTCAGGTTAGGATTTGGAGCTGCGGCTGCAGCCAGGGCTAAGGACTTGAGGATGGAGCTAAGTTGGGCTCGGCACAGGTGGGGGGAGATGGGTAGGAACCCGGCTCCGGAGCAGAAGGACAGCATTCCAGCCACAGCAGGTCGGGGATCCAGGGCTGTGTGGAGCCGGGCCTGCAGCAGAGAGGAGCCCCTCCCTTCCCAGGAATGCCTCAGCCCAGCGCAAGGAGCTGCGACACGTCAGCCAATCAGCTCAGTCCCTGCCCTGGAAACAACACCTGTTAATCCTTACCCCCACCCCCAAGCTCACCAGAGCACAGGTTAAGCAGGTGAAGTGTCCACCCCGGAAACGGAGCTAGAGCGTCCCACCTGCCCGGCCCTACCTGCATGGCTCGGATCCGGCACTTCCAGGCTTCTTGTGAGTTCGCACAGTCCCCACTGCCCCTCTGCCCATAGCGCCCCCACCTCCTCCCACTGGCCTTTCCCCTGAGAGCTGCACCCCACCCCCAGTCCTGCCCCTCGGTGCCAGCACACCTGTGCAAGCACTTTCAACCTGAAGCCACAACCCACGGAACGCTGGAACGGATTCCGTGGCCCCGCCCACAGCCCCTCCTCCACCTGCTTGGGGATCCTAACTCCTGTGCCATGCACTCAGGTGTGCCGTGGAGGAGGGGTCAGAGTGTGATCCTGTGTGTCTGGCCACCTTGTCATGTTCCCGGGGTGACTTGATACTCAGGTCCCACGTCCTGTCTTAAAGTGGAGGGGCTGCATGGGGTTCACTCATTCGAAGCACATGCTTCAGTGCCCTGGCAGGCTGCAGATACCACTGCAATTCCACAGTGAAGACGCCCCAAGATAGACCTCCAACCCTCACATGCTGACCCCACCCGGTGAGGAGCCCCAGGCTCTGCCAGTGACCTCAGGCAGCGCCCAGACCCTCCTCCTGCGGGCACAGCCACTTCCAGCACAGCACAGGCCCTGCTGTTGGTCCTCTGCCCCTGCAGCTCATTGCTTTGGTTCCCAGTTGAAAAGGGGACTCTGTTGCATCTGCCACTCAGGATCCCCCAGGATCCTCCCTTGCCCTCCCGCATGCTTCAGAGAAACCAGGGAGGGCAGTGGGGAGATGGGGGCAGGTGCAGATGCTGCAGCAGCGGGGTGAGGGAGGAGGGCAGGGGCCTGGACTGGGGAGGTTTAGAGGCTGGGGGAACCAGCTGGGGCAGGGTGGGGGTCACAGGACAGAGCCTGGCAGGCAGGTTGACTGCAGGACATCACAATGATGATGGGCTTTGGAGAGAGGGGCATTTGGAAACTAGTATCTCACACTGGCAAAGCGGTGGCTGTGGCACTGGCTAGAGTGTAAGTCATGGGATGGTGTTAGGGGTCAGATTCTAATCCACGGAAGCACGCCTCAAAGAGAGAAGACTCTGCTGGCTTGGGCCGGTTCCAGAGGGGTTAAATCCTAAGCCCCCTCCCCCTTCCCCACCCAGGAGCCAGTGGTGACAGCTGAGGCCATGTGAGTTGGACCCTGAATGAGGCTTTATCTCCGGCTGTCAGTCCCATCATCCACTGTGGCAGCAGCTCCCTCAGGCCAGCATGGATGGGACAGGCGACTAAGAGAGCCGGAGCCAAAGAGGTCAGGGGCCGGGCAAGGGGATGCCCTGATTGGGGGAGGGGTTTGTGGTGGAGGAGGGAGCTCCCCTGGGGTTCATGGAAAGCCAGGGAAAGGGGTGAGATTGCTGGCACCTGCCCCCAAGGCTCCCCGGTGAGACGGTGTGGGGCAGGTGGCTGGGAAGATGGCATGGTGACTCTTCTCTAACAGGTGATGATGCCTTCACCCCGGACCGTGAGAGGAGTGGGACTCTGGGCCCCCAGCTGCCAGGACATGATCTGCACCCTCTGAACTCTGACACTGACCTTCTGCCCTGATCTGCCAGACCAAGCCATGTCTAGACAAGAGGCCCAAGCCCCAAGGACCCAGGAGCTGCCCCCAGAGGTGCTGGCAGAGCAGGTGGAACTATGGTGGTCCCAGCAGCCGCGACGCTCAGCGCTCTGCTTCGCCGTGGCCGTGGGCCTCGTGGCGGGCTGTGGGGCAGGCGGTGTGGTGCTACTTTCCTCCACCAGCAGCCGTTCCGGTGAATGGCGTCTGGCAGCAGGCACCGTGCTCTGTCTGCTGGCTCTGCTAGTTCTGGTGAAGCAGCTGATGAGCTCAGCCATCCAAGACATGAACTGCATCCGTCAGGCCCACCATGTGGCACTGCTACGCAGTGGTGGGGGCGCCGATGCCCTTGTGGTGCTGCTCAGTGGCCTGGTGCTGCTGGTCACAGGCCTGACTCTGGCCGGACTGGCCGCCGCCCCTGCTCCTGCCCGGCCACTCGCCGCCATGCTGTCTGTGGGCATTGCCCTGGCTGCCTTGGGTGCACTCCTGCTGCTGGGCTTGCTGCTGTATGAGGTGGGCGTGAGTGGGTACTGCCCCCCCATTGGTGTGACCACACCCCCCACCCACAGTGGACACGGCGGCAGTGGCAGCATCTTCAGTGTCTCAGGACAGTTGTCTGCCGGCCAGCGCCAGGGGACTACCTCCAGCATCGCCAACCTCCTCTGACAGGGCCTCTGCCCCATTTCCCACCACTACCTTGGCGTCCCTGAGCCCACCCAGAGCATGTGGATGTGGATGCACCCCAGGGCTGTGTCAGCTCTCCCGTGGACCTGTGTGTCATCAGGACTGGGTGGGAGGTGAGCGTGTGCCTCTTGGCACCAGATGCTTGTGTCTGCGGAGATGCCAGGCACCTGTCTGGGTCAGGGGTTCTTTGGCATAGATACATCTGCCATACCTGAAGGTTCTGGACTTTGCCAATCCTGCGCTGAGACAGCTGCTGGGACCTCCCCAGCAGACTCTTGCCCACCTCCAAAGCTGCCCCACTGATGGCACATGGAGGAAATGACTGGGGCAGCATGAAAAGCTCAGGGGTCTCAGAATGGAACAGAACTGGGTCTGGCGCCTAACGGCTGGGGGGCTTGGACCCGTGACTATGTTTCTCTCACCTCGTGTCTCAAGACTCACAGTCCAGCTCATAAGTGTGGGACTACAGGGCTGTGGTCGCTGACCATGAGGCCAAGTGCCAGGTCAATGGAAGGACCGGGCTCATGGCAGATGTGCAATAAAATGACAACCACCGCAATCGTCCTTAGCATCTGGACCTCACCCTTGCCCCACACCTGTCACCCCCATACTCCGTGCTGTGAAGGACCCCTCAGCCAGCCCTGGTGCTTCTGGCACCAGTTGAATGGATGCTCCCCTCTGGGAGAGGGAGGCAGAAACCAGAGTCCTCCGCCCTTACTCGGGGCTGTCTGGCTGCTGGATGTGAGCTGCTGGCTCCTCTGGGGTGGCACCTCCCCTGGTCCCCCTTCAGCTGAGCCCTGCCTCTAAACCTGGACACACTGTGCCTGTCGCAGTCACTGCTCTGGCTGCGCCTGGGCTCCTGGCTCCTGGGCACCGGAGAGGCTTGGCTCCCTCCTGGGTTGGCAGTGCCCTCCCTGGGGTGGGCTGTAATATCCTGCCCTGTAGGAAGCTGTGCACAACAGCACCTTCACTTTCTGCTTTCCAGATGCAGTTACACAACACAACCCACAGGAGACACCTGGGGAGGCAGGGAAAGGAGCCCCTTCCCTAAGAGACACCTCTTCAGAGGCTGGGCAAGCAAGGGTGAGCGAGGAGAGACGGGGCTGATGGTGGGAGAGGGACAAACAGAGAGGGAGGGTGACCTGGTCAGGCCCAAAGAATAGGGCAGGTCCCAGAACACTATGGACCCTGGAAACCCCTACTCTCCCTGAGTGCCTCACACAGACACAGACTTGAATCTCCTGCTCTTGATCTTGACCCAACACCCAGGTTAGCAGCCCTGGGGTGAGGGGTGGGTCTTGTAACCTTGCAGAATATTCATGGCCTGAGGAGCTCTCTGGCTCTCTATTTATCCTATCTGTATCTCTCAGCCTGTTGGTGAACAGCCCCTTATTGCTATCCCTTTCCGTGCTCCCTCCTCTCCTCCTCCTCCTCCTGCCACACTTCTCCCAAATGAAATTGGAAACCTGTCTGAAAGTCAAACGGCAGCACCAAGCTTCTCACAGGTTTCTTAACATTATTCTGCCCTTAATGAGCACCAGGAGCCAACCCCACTGAGCCCCGGTGCCACCACCACTTGTTCCTGGCTTCCCAGGCTGTGTTCCTTCTCTTTATCTTCTTATCCTCTCTAGGATCTAGAGCCTCTGGGGAGTCCTCCATAATACCCCCACACCTTACACCAGCGAGCACTGCCTTATCTGGGCCCATAGCACCCCAGTGTGGACCTCAACCGGCTATTCTTGGCTCTGAATCAGGAGGTGAGCTCATCCCATCGAGGCTTGGCTCTTATTCAGCTTGGATCCCCAGCACCCAACACAAGCCTGACACCGGGTGGGTGCTTTGTTGGGTGGAGAGAGGACTCAGGCTTGGTCACAACAAGAGCCCTCCTTTAATTGAGAAGCATCAAGAAGCTGACGGCTGCCTGCTGTAGATCCTGGTTTGTTGTTCCTGAGGTCCTGAATTCTCAACTCCAGAAATTCTTCTAGGTTCCCAAGTCCCAGGCTGTCAAAGGGCCTCCGAGCACCCTTCTTCCTGTGGCATGGATGAGACTCTTTCTCAGAATCTCTCTTAAAAACAAAAGGAAGGCAGGGCCCCAGGGCCCTTGGTGGCATCCCACAGCCACAACTGATGGGGCAGCTCATGTAAGCAAGGCGGCCCCTCCTATTGTCCCATCCCTCCCTCAGGGGCCATAGTTCCTTGGCCCTCCATCTCATCCACCCCCTGACCCACTTCTCAGCCCCTTTGTCCCTGCCGTTTGCTCCCAGCAAACTCCTCCATGGATGAATTCCCTCAACTATCTTCACTGCACCTGCTGTCACAGTGTGTAGCTCTTACAGAAATCCACCTACACAGCCCAGGGTCACCGGGAACTCTTCATTGCCAACCTCAGCCAGGTCATGCTGTGTTCCCACCTACCCACGCAGGCTAGCTCCTGACCCCATCATGAATTATCTCCACTCAGCTAACCCCACTCCCCACCGCTTGACAGCTGGGTGAGCCCCCACTTCATGGGAAAACCGTGTACGGGAGGGGCCCTCTCCCCTGGCAGCCACCCACCGTTCCTCCTTGTTCTTGTTTGTCCAACAGCCTTGCCAGCCCAGCTGGGGAATTTGCACTTTGTCCTCGGGACGCTGGAAACACAGGCAGTGCTGTGGCCAGAGCAGGATGGGGTCACGCCTGCAGCTGTGTAGAGATGAGATTTGGCCCCAGAGAGAATAGAAAGAAACAGCTCCACAGCCCCCAGAAAGGCCTGGTTCCTGAGCAATGCGAGGCACCTGGCCAGGCAGGAGGGGCTGCAAAGGGAAGGGTGGAGGGAAGGAATGGCACAAAGGGTTCAGAGATGGGAGGACCCTGGCCAGGGCAGGTGCTTGCAGCAGCGGTTAAAAAACTGCTTTGGGACACCCATGTTCCTAATCCACATGCCTAGGCTGTTCTGGCTTGAGTTTCAGGCTTCAGTGTTTGGGAAGTTAACCAGCGGGGGGAAGCTCACTTGCTGTCTACAGCTCCCCTCTTTCAAATAAAATGAGAATAAATAAATACGACAAACAAAAGACAAAGCCCTAAGCTCTTTGGCAGAACCGAGCAAGAGTGGGAGGGAAGAGGTGAGGGGAAGCTGCCAGCAGCCCTTGGCCAGTCCCCGGGCCCTGGAGTGGGCAGCAGATGGGGCTGTTTCTCAAGGCCCAGAAGAAGCACACGAAGGGTTATCAGCAAGGAATGGGCTGTTCAGACTTGTGTATTTAGGTGATCACTGTCTGCCTTAGGGGGAAATCATTGGAAACAGTAAAAATGGAGACAGGGAAATGAGTGGAATAATTAATAAATAAACCAGGTGTGAGTCAGGGAGGCTTAGGCTAGGGGTGGCTAGACTAGGAGACAGAAGTTAAAGAGAGGGGCTCTGGTATAGCCAGTTAAGCCTCTGCCTGCCGTGGTGGCACACCCTATGGGTGCCAGACCAAGTCCCAGCTGCTCCACATCCAATCCAGCTCCCTGCTAATGCACCTTGGAAAATAGCAGAGGACGGTTCAAGTACATGGACCCCTACCACCTGCATGAGAGGCCCAGAAAGAGCTCCAAGCTCCTGCATTTGGAGCCAATGAATGCAAGATCTCTCTCTCTCTCTCTGCCTCTCCTTTTCTCTGTGGAAACCTTTCAAAAAAATTTTTCAAAAGTTCTTTAAAAAAAAAAAATCAAAGACAGTGAATTGACTGAAAGTGCAGAAAGTGGGGCCAGAGAAGCTTTCTGACATAGGAATGGGACAGGCAACTGGGTCAGAGTTCAGACGTCCCAAGGGACACCCCACATCAGGATGCCTGGTTCGAGTCTCCACTCCATTTCCAGTCCAGCTTCCTGTTCATGTACACCCTGAGTCACCAGAAGATGGCTCAAGTGTTTGGGTAACCCTTGTGGGAGCTCTGGGTTGGATTCTTGCCTGGGTTGTTGCGGGCATTTCGGGGGAGTGAACCAGTATACGGAAGGTTGCCCTTTGTGTCTGTTTCCCCAATGCCTTTGAAATAAAGCAATAAACAAATTTTGTACTTTTTTTTAAAGATGGGAGAGATGTGGTTAATTAAATGTTTGGGTAACTTGGGGGGGGGAGTTAAAGATATAGAGGGTAGAAAAAATCATTCTTAGTGCAAATGTGTAGGATGGGGGTGGGAAGGGGCAAAATGGAGGAGCTCGCTTACATTTTTTTTTAAAGGGGTTTATTCATTTATTTATTTATTTATTTATTTATTTTTAAAGTCAGCATTAGAATCTTCCATTCACTGGTCTATTCCCCAGATGGCCCCAATGGCCAGCAATGGGCCAGGATGAATCCAGGACCTGGAGCTCCTTCTGGATCTCTTACATGGGTGCTGGTGAGCCCAAGGACTTGGGGTATCCTCCACTTCTTTCCCAGACACTTTAGCAGGGAACTGGATCAGAAGTGGAGCCTCGGGGGCCTGGTGTGGTGGCCTAACGGCTAAAGTCCTCTCCCTGAATGCACGCCCGGGATCCCATATGGGCACTGGTTCTAATCCCAGCAGCTCCACTTCCCATCCAGCTCCCTGCTTGTGGCCTAGGAAAGCAGTCAAGGATGGCCCAAAGCCTTGGGACCCTGCACCCGTGTAGGAGACCCGGAAGACGATCCTGATTCCTGGCTTCAGATGGGCTCAGCACCGGCCATTGCAGTCACTTGGGGAGTGAGTCATCGGACGGAAGATCTTGCTCTCTGTCTCTCCTCCTCTCTGTATAATATGCCTTTCCAATAAAAATAAATAAATCTTTAAAAAAAAAAAAGAAGAAGAAGAAGTGGAGCCTCCAGGACATGATCCAGCACCCAAGAGGGATGTTGGCATTACAGCTACTTTGCAAAAAGGCCAATATTCCTTGCAGTTCCATTTTAACAGAAAAGAGGGAGAGATGTGGGTTTTGTAGCAGGAAACCTGAGCAGCTAGTCTCTCTGCAAAGTGGAAGCAGTTTGAAAGAGTGGTCAGCAGCCCAGCACGGTAACCTAGCAGTTAAAGTTCTCAATTTGCATACACCATGATCAGATATATGGTGCTGGTTCTAATCCTGGCAGCCTACTGGCAGCCCATCTCCCTGCTTGTGGCCTGGGAAAGCAATAGAGGATGGTCCAAAGCCTTGGGACCCGGCACCCATGTAGGGGACCCGGAAGAGGCTCATGGCGCCTGGCTTCTGATCAGCATAGCTCCGGCCATTGTGGCTGCTTGGGGAGTGACTCAACGGATGGAAGATCATCCTCTCTCTTTCGTCCTCCTCTGTAGATCTGACTTTTCAATAAAAATAAATAAATCTAAAAAAAAAAAAAGGAAAGAAACAAAGGGTGGCCGATATGGTTGAAGAATCTGACCAAGAAAACAGCAAGGTTCTAGAAGAAATTTCAATGCACCTGTAAGCTGGAGGCATCACCCAGAGTCAGCAGGGCTTTCTCAGCAGCACCCGGAGGCCAGGGCACCAACCCCTGACTCTCCGGCTGGTCTCAGGCTGGAGGTCACTGGGAACATGAAATGGTGAGATGACAGGGCAGGGATATTGAGGGCTTGGCCAGGGGGAGATAGGCATACTGGACCCTGAACTCTAAGCTGCAATTGGGTGAAGAGAAAAGAGAAAGAGAGTGGTCTAAATGTCAAGGTTCCTACTGGGAGGCAGGGGAGGGACACCTGTCCCTCCTGGGAGCTTCCCTGCCATGGCACCTGGAGACCTGCACCCTGGAGCCCCAGCAACCTCATGTCACTTCCAGGCACCTCCCATCTGAGACCGTGGGACTCCAAGGGACGCTCAGGTGTCCCTAAAGGACCCTCCCTAGGCGCCATGGGGCCTGCACAAGCCTCCTCATGCTCAACTTCCTGCCCAGGTCAGGGCCTGCCTCCTTGACTGTCCCCCAGAACCATGAGATCCTCACAGACATAGGTCACCCCAGGGACTTAGCAGGGAGGGGGGCACAAACAAGATATACCCCACTTGTGCTTTCATAGCCTGTTCTCTCCAACCTGGAGCCTACAGCCCCAAGCCTCTAGACTCCCACCCACGGGAGTTGGGATGGGGAGTTACAGAGGGAAGACAGCCCCAGCAAGGTGGGAGTGGATCCAACACCCAACAATAAAGAGGCCACTTCTCTGTTCTCCTGTCTCTTCCAGACGAGACAAGAGCATCAGTGCTGGGTGAGGTTAACTGCCAACACCTCAACCTGCTGTTCTATAAGGCAAGGCTGCCTTGTTGGCAGAGCTAGTAAAGAAGTACTAGACAGGATACCAGGCCTGGGGCAGCTGCCACAGGTGTTGTCATCCAGGCTCTGGCATCAGAAGTTCTGATCGAGGTCCTCTGCTGTCCTGTGTCCTGGGAAACAGATTTTCCAATACCCAGCCTGGCAGGGCGAGAAGGGAGGGGCCTCGGCAAGGACTAATTGACTTGCTGAGTGAACTACTGGCCTGGGGAGTGGCGGAGATGTTAGTGGAGACCCAGAGTTTGCTCCCTACTGTGGAGTGGAGAGGAGTGCTCCCTCAGCGCCTCCTCTCCCTCTCCCACTCTAAATGACCACACAGCCGAACATCCCCAAACCCACTTCTGCACATTGGACTTGGACCTGAGATTCACTCTCCCTGGGCATCTCCACCTGGAAACTCCACAACTGACATTGGTGCAGACACCAGGCCAGAACCTAGGGTAGCTCTGCTGATGCCTCTCTGTTCCCTGTACCCCAAGTTATCCAGACCTGACAACCTCACCTCCTGTCCATCTCTGGGACCTCTGTTTCCCGTGCCACACCTTCAGTCACATCACTTCCCTTCAATCTGTCTTTGCTCAGCAGCATGAGCGACTTTTCTAGTGATTGCATCAGGATCACCCAAACTGTCCACGGCCTCAGTTGTTCTCACGCTACAGGAAGAGCTCTCTCTCAGCTTGCAAAGCCCCAGCTGACCTGGTCTAATCTTCAGCTGGTCATTGCCTTGGGTACTACTCAAACTCTGCCAGCTCAAGTGCCCCTGGACCCCCTGCCTTCTGCTCAAGCACCTAACTCCAACAGCCATCCCCTCGTGTTCCTTTTCTGCTGACTTCTCTCAAAGCCAGATGCTTCATCAAAGTAGATATAGCTGTGCTAGTCACTTGGCTCATGAAGACCAAGAACAGGTGGGCTGGCTCCCCATGCGACATGTGGCCTGCAGTCAGAGCTCACCAGGCCCGTGGTGGACATACAACCTAGTGGGTCAGTGGCATTCTCTTGCCTGCAGGTTTGGAGTCCTAGGCAAGAAGAGTCCCATTGAAGGGCAAAACACCAGAGGTGCCATGCCTGACCTCCAGCTGCAGGAACAGTGGCTTCCTGCCTTGTCAAGTCAGGCAACTCAGCAGCCAGGACTCCCCAAACCTCTGTCTTTAGATTTTTTTTTTTTTTTTTTTTTTTTTTTACTGGAAAGGCACATTTACAGAGAGAAGGAGAGACAAAGATCTCCTATCCATTGGTTCACTCCCCAGGTAGCCAAAACAACCACAGCTGAGCCGATCCAAAGCCAGGAAACAGGAGCTTCTCCTAGGGTTCCCCACAAAGGTGCAGGTTCCTAAGGCTTTGGGCCATCTTCTAACTGCTTTCCTAGGCCACAAGCAGGGAAATGGATGGGAAGCAGGCTGCTGGGATCAGAATGGTGCTCACATGGGGTCCGTGATGCAAGCAAGGTAAGGACTTTAACTGTTAGGCTACTGTGCTGAGCTCAAGCCTCTCCCCTCTCGAATCTGCCTCCCTCACTAAATCCCCCCACCAGCAGCTAACACCCTCTCCCAGGAGGTCCTCAACAAAGTCTTGCGTTCATCTCCACTTCTCCACCTGTCATTCACTCACTCCTCAGCCCAAAGTAATTCAACAAACGTGGCTGATCACCAGTATCCAAGGAGGGTTGTTTCCAGTTCCCCTGGTGGATATAAAATTCCTCAGATGCCCAAGTAAACGCTGAAGCAGTTTTTCCATGTAACCCTGAGGCACATTTCCTGTGTGTCTTATTAAACCTCCTGTGATTATTCACAACACCCAATACAATGCCCACACACCGTTTTATTTGCCTGGATACAGCGTAGTACTCAGCACAAGGCAAATTTAAATTTTACATTTGGGAACTTTCTAGAATGTTTCCCCCATAATTTCTGACTGGTGGTTAGTTGAATCCATAGATGTGAAACTCCTGGATACAGAATCTCAAGGGGGTTATTGAGAATTGTGTGAGAACCTAAAGATACAGAATTGGGCATAGGCTGGGGTCTCTGCGATCCAGTCTAGCTGTGGGGACAGCCACCATAAGTGATAGTGCAAATCGTAATAAAGATGAAGAGACAGGGCAAAGAGCCAACACTGTGGCACAGGGAGATAAGCCTCTATTTGGACACTGGCATCCCCTCTCAGATGCCAGTTGGAGTCCCAACTGCTCTGCCTGTGACCCAGCTCCATGCTGATGCTCTGGCATGGCAACAGAAGACTGTTCAAGTGCCTGGGTTCTTAACTACCACAGCTGGAGTTCCTGGCTCCTCCTGCCCCACCCAGTGCCTGCTGCTACTAGCATATGGGTACTGACCCAGTGCACGGAAGACTTCTCTAAATGTGTCTTTCCTTTTCTCTCTGTCACTATGCCTTTTCAATAAGCAAATTCTTACATAAAATAATAACAGAAGAACTTGTGGAAGGCTTCCTGGAGGTGGGGATGCCTGAGTGGCTATGTTCTAGCAATAAGTGACAAGTTCCAGTCTAAGACAAATACACATGAACAACACCGTTTTATTTTTAATCAAAATGAAAACAGATGTATCAACCCCTCTGAGAAACACAGCCAGATGACCCACTTCACTGACAGGAAAGGGTTGCCAGGAGAAAACCTGGCGCCAGCTTGCACCTGCGCAAACATGTCACCCAGGCACATTTGCAATGCAGGCAGGTCAGCAGGCCACACAGTGCCTGTAAACAAGGTTTCACCATGGTCAGAGAGGATGTGGGAAAAGGGTAGTGTGGACAGGAGGACAGGGTGAGCAGAGCAACATGGCAACACTGCAGGGGAGGGGCAGGAGGGTGTGAAGACAGCTAAGTGGGGAGGGAAGCCAGCAACAGAGGCCTCCTCCAACACCTGCTGGCTTCACCCTGAGAACAGTGGCCAGAGTGTCTACCCCTGGCCTGCCTTTGAGCCCTGGTCACCTCTGTTCCTGAGGCTTGAGGCTCCTGCGCCAATGGCATCCACCGTATCCTCTACCCTTAGATGGTCAGGCTCGGAAGGAAGAGAGAGTGTCCAAAAGTCAGAGGTCAGAGGGAGAAGTGGTCCCTGCTGCCCTCTGTCCCCAGCTCGCCAGCCCCTGGCTGAATGTAATTGTCCTCAATGAAGCCATCATCATCCTCGATTTCTCCCACTTCCACGTGGCGATCTCTCCTTGTCCCAGGCAGTGGGCGGTGCTGGTAGCTGGCACGGTAGCGGCGGCAGAGGTGGCATTTGGCAGCAAGTGCAATGAGAACAGAGACAACCACAGCACCTAGCAAAACTCCGACCAGCACAGGCCATGCCCGGCCCCCAGAGCCCAGGCCAGGAGCTGTCGCTGTCACTGTGGCTGTCACTGTGGGGAACTCCGAGGGCCCCACCTGAGCTGCAGAGAAAGGCTCGGCATTACCAGCAGGGTCCTTCCCACACTCCCAGCAGCTAAGGGGAACTCGCCCCCCCTTAGCCACCCTCCATTGTCACTCACTTTGGTTTGCCTCATTCATGGAAAGGCTTGAGGATACCAGTAACCTTGGCCTCTGCCAAAAAGATCCCTGGTTCCAAGGAGATCTCCCAGTAGGCCAGGCAGACCCAGAGGACAATTCCTAGGGGGGGAAAAACCACACAGGTGCAGGTGTCATCGATGGCCACAGGTACATAGCACAGCACTGCACAGTCACTGGGGACCAGACAACTGAGCCTCAGGCCTCTCACCTCCTACCCATAGAAGAGGCAAGCAGTTTATTATGCATTTGTAAGGGACGGCTACAGCGCCCCTAGAAGCTGCTAAGGAATAATAAATCCTAGAGGCCGGGGCCAGGTCAGACACTCACAAAACCCCCCACAAAGTGGGTGGAAACATTCCCACATTCTACAGGAGGGATCCAAGGCTCAGAAAGATTCCAGCATTCAAACCCAAGTCTCTGACACCACAGCCCAGAGCCATGGGGTGGAGGCAGGCCCCAGCCCCCAAAGGCCAGCAGACAGCATTGTTCAGAGGCACTGAGCCTCAGCCAGCAGGGATCACACAACAGAGGCCAATGCAGGTCCCCACCCAGGGCAGGCGCCCCAGACGCAGCCGGCGCCACCCTGGCCTCTGCTCCTGAGATGGTAACTGGCACACCTGGTCATTCTCCTGCATCTTCCGGAGGCCCACACTCTGCCTCTAGAGGGAGGCAGTCACACCCGGGGCGAGGCACACCAGGCAAACACGATTCCTGGATTAGGAAATTTTCTGGGACAAGCACCACCCGGAGAAGGTGCATCTGAATGGAGGAAAGGGAAAGAATACCTAGAAGAGTGCAAGGGTACAGAAATACCTGGCGGAGGGGTGCAGCCTGGGAGGATCTGCAGGTGCAACACCTGACTCAGAGGAGTCCTGGGGGTGGAGTAGCCGAGTGGCACCTAGGAGAGAGCACATTCTTCATGCAGCTACTCCCTGCAGGTCGTCAAGCCCTCACCCTCATCGTGGGTCCCTCACACTTCTCTAGAATGGCGAGACCCCCTGCTGAGTGCAACCAGCTGCATTTTGTACCCAGGCTCTGACTCTTCTAACTCTCAGAGCATCATGGCTCTGAGTTTAAATTTCACAAGAGCTACAATGCCTCAAGGAAATGCAACTGAGCACATGGCCTCAGCTGAACTCTCAAAGTCTTCCACCTCTCCATAGGGTCACCCCACAAAACACATGCACACCCTCCAGACATCACCCCCTCCTCAGTCTATTTCCAACCTTCAAGGCCAAATCAGGCCATTTTGCCTGTAAGGTAGTTCCGGGATCCCCCAGTTGGTCCCAATCAAAACCAGATTTGTGAGATGAATGGGGGTGGGGGGAGAAGGAGGTGGATAGCAGAAGGGATTAGGAAGGGGACATAAACTGTCACTCATTCATTGGCAAGCACGCACCTGGTGGACCTCTCTCAAAACCAGGGGGTGGGGGTGAGCTGTGGATGCACTGCATTGCTGCAGCGACAGTGAGTTAAGGAGCCACAGGCAATACCAGCGTTCTGTAAGAGCCCCAGCTGGAGTCCCGGCTGCTCCACTTCAGAGCCAGTTCCCCATTAACGCACCTGAGAGAGCAGTGGAAGACAGCCCAAGTCCTTGGGCCCCTGCCGCCCACGTGGGAGACTGAAATAACAGAATTCTGGGCTCCTGGCCAGGCCAATTCAGCCGTTTAGGGAATGGATCAAATGGGAAGTCTCTCTCTGTCTAATTCTGCCTTTCGATCATTTTTTTTTCTTAAAGATACCTGTCTGACACTCTCCTATCAGAGTTCCTCTGTTCGAGTCCCTTCTCTGCTTCCAATCCCAGCTTCCCGCCAATGCTCACTGAAGGAAGCGACAAGTGATGGCTCAAGTGCTTGGGTCCCTGCCACCCACGTGGGAGGCCCAGACAGAGCTCTGGCTCCTGGCTTTGGCCTGTGCCAGCCCTGGCTGCTGCAGGCTTTGTGGAATGAAGCAGCTGACGGGAGCATGCATTCCGTAGATCTGTTTCTGCCTTCCTCATTAATAGATGAATTAGTTAATACTTTCCAGTGAGAATTTGTTACACTGCAAAGGACTTAAACTCAACTTGGTGATTCTAAAATCTTATTTCTACACCTTTCGTATTTGCACTGTCCCTGTGAATTCCTCTCAAGGACATGGACTTATGCACACACGTGCACACGCGTGTGTGCGCATACACACACACCCAAGACAACCTTGAAGGACACTGTGTCCTCCCCCAAAAGGCCTGAGCTTTCAGCCCTTCAACCTGCCCTTCCCCTCTCCACACACACTCCGTCACCCCACCCCCAGGTCACACTCTCCTTCACGGACAAACACCCACCCCCCAATACACCCATCTGTAGCCTCTTTCCTGCTCCCCGGGGCCCTGGGGGAAACCTGTGTAGGGTCTGGCAGCCCCCCCTCCCCCGCCGTCCCCTCCCCACAATGTCTTCTCCCTCTGCTCCCACCTTAGGAACTGTCCACAATCCGTGGAGGTGGCTTCCGGCTGGGCCGGCAGAACCTGGACAGGTGGGCGGGCCAGCGCTGTGGCTTGACTCACCTGGGGAGACGGTGGGCGGGGCTGAGGCTGCTGGGGCGGGAGAGGGCTGGCGGCCAGAAGCGCCTGCAGCTGGGAGAACAACTCATCCTATGTCTTCCTGGGGTTTTGCCGAGAACCTTCTGGTTGCAGGCCCCACCCCATCCACCCCCACCCCCAGTGTCGCTTCGGGAGAGGGTTCAGCCACCCCTAAACGGTGTGAGTCTCAGCAGGCAGCTGCTCGGACTAGTGGCCCTGATAAACAAACGAATTTCCGGAGCAAAGTCCAGAGTGGAAGTGGGAGCTTTGTGAGCCTGTGAAGCCGGTGGGCCGGAACCAGGAGGAGAAGGGGCGGGTATTTCTCCCAAGCAGATCCAAGGAGGGGCGAAGGGCACTCCAGAATTAACTGCAAACACGTGTGTGAGTCCACGTGGGTCTACCAGGATCCCAGCTGCAGCCTCTCCTGTCCTTTGACCTTATTCTTCCTCCAAGGGTCTGGTGCTTCCTTGTCCTTCAGATCCAGTTTAGGAAGTCACCTTCGCTGCCCTGGTGCTGTGCCCCAGCCGGCCGCCTCTCCCAAGGCCAGAGCACCCACTATGGCTGCATCCTGCACTGCCTTGCCCTTTAGGCTGGGAGTCCTTGCAGCATGGGGCCCTGTGTGACAGTCTCTGGGTTCGGAGCACTGAGCAGAGCCCCATGCCAGTCACAGGGCAGCAGGGGAGCATTCCGTTCCATTCCCAGGGACCACCAGGCAGGGCTGGAACCAGGGCAGCAGAGAGGGGCTGCAAGCGGGATCACGTGGCCTGCACTGGGACACAGAGGCTGGTTCATTGCAAAGCCCTGCGCCTCTTTAAACGGCATCTGAACTCTGCCTCTCACAGCCCCTTCTCTCCCATCTCTTCTGGCACCAATGCCTTCATGGGGCTCCAGCCCCTCCAAATTGGTCTCTCTCTCTCTCTAAAGATATATCTTATTTTTATTTGAAAGAATCCGTTACAGAGAGAAAAGGAAAGACAGAGAGATTCCCCATCTGCTGGTTCAATCCCCAGTGGCTACAACAACAGAGTTGAGCTGATCTGAAGCCAGAGCCAGAACTTCTTCCAGGTCTCCCATGTGGGTTCAGGGTCCCAAGGCCTTGGGCTGACCTCCACTGCTCTCCCAGGTCATAGTCAGCTGGATGGCAAGTAGAGCAGCAGGAACATGAACTGTGCCCAGAAGGGATGCTAGCCCAGCCAACAGAGGCTTAGCCTACTATGTCACAAGGTCAGCCACAAACTAGTTTCTCTTCCTGCAGCACCCCACCCCCCACACACCCTTACAAGCTCTCTCACCCTCTAAGCTTCATATGCTCAGCTCCCCTTTCGTGGGACCCCTGCTTCTCCTCTTACCTCCAAACCCTCCCCCCACAACTCCAGCTTCCGCCTCTCAGGGCCAGCTCTGGGGCCTCTTCATCAGGACCAGCTTGGGCGACCTTGCTGGTCCTCCCCCATAGCCATGACCATGTGACCATTCCCTCTTGGAGCCCAACTCTGGAGGTGAGGGCTTGTGTCATCTAACTGCCGTTGACCCCCAAAGGTCTAAAATAGTGACAGCAAAAAAGTCAAATCAAATCAAATGGTGACAGTAGATACTGTCAATGAAGATGAGAGAAATGCTCGCAAGCCTGGTTGGGCAATTAGGTGCCAAGGGAGGGAGGGTAATTTTTCTAGCTGAAGAGGAAACCACAGGATTCAGATGATGTCCACAGAACACGTGTCCCAGGCACCATGCTGGGCTCTCTAAAGTTGCACTGTTCATGTATCACAACCTAAGTCACATCAAATTCACTGTGCCAGTCATTTTTTTTTAAAGATTTATTTTTATTATTTTTTATTGGAAAGGCGGATATACAGAGAGGAGATACAGAGAGGAAGATCTTCCGTCCGATGATTCACTCCCCAAGTGAGCCGCAACGGCCAATACTATGCCGATCCGAAGTCAGGAGCCTCTTCCGGGTCTCCCACGCGGGCGCAGGGTTCCAAAGCTTTGGGCCATCCTCGAGTACTTTCCCAGGCCACAGGCAGGGAGCTGGAAGGAAAGCGGGGCTGCCGGGATTAGAACCGGCGCCCATATGGGATCCCGGGCGTGCAAGGCGAGGACTTAACCACTTGCGCCACCGCGCCAGGCCCGTGTGCCAGTCATTTTTAAGCATACAGTGCAGTAGAAGTGAGTCCATCCAGAAGACTACGCAACTGCCACTCAAGACCTCAATGAATTCATTACCCCAAAAGGATGCCCCTGGCCCACCACCAAGCAGCTTAACCCACTGTACCCATTCTCCCAGCCCTCTAAGACTCCAGCAGCCGCTGAAGGATTTGCCTGGACATTTGCTATAAAGGTATGTGTGGCTGCTTCCAATTTCCCTGGCTCCTCATGACTATGCTACCACACAGAGGTTAATGACGCCCTTTCCAGATGAAGAGAAAGAGGCTGTGAGAAGGTG